GTCTGTTAAATGGGCAACAGTATTATGAAAATGCTTGAAATACTGTAAGATTTGCCAAAATGTGACACAGAGACACAAAATGAGCACATGTTATTTGAAAAATGTACACAACAGGGTTAACAAAACCTTCAATTTGTAAACCAGATGCAATTTCTATGAAGCACAATTAAATAAGGCATGCCTGTGTAAAAGAGTTCAAACATTACAGAACAAGTGCTTTACAAAGTTTCCTTACAGAAGATTGACACACCAGGCAATAACATAAAGCTTGTTGTAATTCCTGCACAGAAATGTCTTTGGCTAGGGCATTGTCAGCAACAGACAGCAGTGTCTAGAGAGACTGAGTTGACAGGGTAAGTTTCTAGGAAAACTATCTTGAATACAAGCTAATTTGTTGTCTGAGTAACAGAAGAAATGGTTCCATCTGTTCTATCACCATGTATGTCAACATAATTAATCAGCATTTTGACTTAATGACATAAATGCTATGAACAAAAAGTTATCAAAGGAATAATTTTAAATCTCGGCCAAATACATTTTAATTCAGATCCCCCATCAAGTGAATTCACTTTTTAAAAATCAATAAATATAATACATATGACATCTTCCATTTTATTATAAATATCCTTTGCAAGTAATTACTTTGGTTGCATCTTCTGTCTTCAATAATATCAATGTAAAATGGATAGCACAACATCTTTCCTATTCTCAGGATGGTTTTGGTCAGGCTCCATTGAAACAGCACATATCAGATCAATAAGTAAAGTATTAAGTGCCTAATATGACAAAATAATAGTTCTATCAATAGACTATATACTCCTTGAAATCAGTACTCAATTAATAATTTTTACCTCAAACACAGAATAATATATGGCACTATTTGTGTGATTTTGCTCAATAATTAAACAGGAATGATCACAAAATCAGAATCACTCCATAGGAAGCTATTATGTTATATTTCCTTACTTAAAGCAAATGTAATATATTTAAATTGAATTTCTTGCAATACTGGGCTGTTAGATTATACATAGACACTATTCATAGAAATTGTCTAGAAATACTACTAATTAATGCTAGATACTGCAGTGCATTCATAAGTGTCCAGCGCCAGAGCAAAATAGGTTGCTTAAAAAATACTGCAACTAGTAAGTAAAAGGAGAATGGGCAGAAGTTCAGAGGGAAAGCCAGCCAAATGGCTAAATGTAGAGCCCATCACCAAGGACGCCACAGGAAATGAGAGAAAATGATAAAAAGTGGAGGGAGCAGACACACATGATATATTTGAATCCCTTTTCCTTTATATACTATCTTGATATGTTTCGGAAATGTATCACTTGTTAAGCTCATGTTCTACACATAGCCATACAACTCTCTCTTTCATACACACACACACACACACACACACTCACACACATCTCATAGCACCTTAGTTGTTTAGAAGAGAGAAATAAATAACTTAAGGTACGTATATTATAAAATATTAGAAAAGTAAGTTTTGTATACATGGTAATGAGATTTATGCATATTTAAGTAGAGATTTCCTAATTTAACTGATTCAAGGTAAAATATCTAGGTGAAAGCAGTAATATTCAATACACATACACACTTGGGGGTCATATTTATCATAACATTTTATGCAATATTTAAAATTAATTCATAAGTTTAATAGTATGATATAAAATGTGATTTGAAATTACACTTATCATTTAAAATGACTAAATATTAGGCAATTGAGTGATTGAAAAACACTTCAACAAAGGCATAAAAAAATTCAGTCTCTACAGAGAAATTTAATTCCTGAAATACATCCTGGCTAAAATATATGCTCAATTATTTTTCTGTTTAGGCTTCAAATTTTCACAAAAAATTACATTGGCTTTCAGTTCCATTTTTCCAAAAATTCCTTGAAGATGCTCATGCCTAACCCTTGGCTCACAAGATTCATAAAATAATTCAGAATTAGTTTTCAAATGAATTTGGCAATGTCTCCTTGTGAAAAGCAGGTCAAGAAATTCAAACTACCTCTCTTATCCAACTTAATAGATTAACTGATGCATTGGAGTTGGGTAATTTGGGGACATTGTGAAAATTGTTTTGAAAATATACCTCTCTCCCCTGAAAAAGAGATAGGCTAAGGATATTAAGTGGCTTACATTTTAAAATAAATTTCTTAGTAATCATTCTGATGATAAATTAAAAAAACACACTAATTTACCTTTTTATAATCTGTCAAAGCAACAAATTTTGTTTTGCTGATTGGATATATTTGTTTATTCCATTATTTATCATTGGTTCAATTAGAATGGCCAGTATGAAAGGAGTCTAATTAAACACCTTTTTTTTCCTTTGATCCCAATGATGGGAAAGTAAACAGTTGTAATTTTCTTAAAAAGCAACTATAGTATTTATCAATGTCAACACTTTCCAACAATGTTAGAGAATCACTTTCCATTTATATATATATTCAATTAAAACTCCCTTTAAATTAATAGTAACATTTACAGCATTGCAAATTAAACTCATAACACAAATGTGTACATAAACCTGCTAATGTAAAATCCATTCCAACCAAAGAGACTATAGAAAGGAGTTTAATAGCCAGAAAGATTTCCAAGTCTATCAATCTTTATGGAAGCATACTGACTCATCTTTCTCCCATAGAGAGGCACGTGGTTTCAGACAGCCAACCTTTCTTTTATCATTGAAGAGTTTAACCACTATATCACCAGGGTTCCTTATGTTATGTAGGTAAATTTTGACATATGTATATTCTAGCAAATGCTGTGACTATTATTTAAAATAATAATGGCATTACAGATCCATATTTTATTCTATTTAAAAATATTACAACATAGACAGAAGGTAATGATAAAGCAGATCAGGTCTAGTGCAAAAGGACTACTTCTAATTGTCACAGTTTACTGCTTGTATTTGCTCTGAATGATGGGATTTTTAAATAGATTTCACCCAGATTGTTATATTATATATATATTATATATGAGTCCTTCATATGTTGGCATTTTTTAAAGAAGACACACACACATATACAAATAAAGAGAGATAAGCAAAAGGGAGGGCTCCAAATAGAATCAAAGATATGAAATCATTCCAATCCTGAGCAGTCAATAGGGTTTCACTGCTTTTTTGAGCAGAGAGTATTTACTTATTCTGGCAATCTTTCTAAATAAAAGTTAGCTCTTTAACATTAATAAACACAATTCTTTTTATAATTCTTTCCTGGCAATTGGCAGCACATGCCATTATTTTTAAAACAAAAATGAACTATTTGGGCAGAAATGTTTGCTTCATCATTGTGATGGTTACATTTCCAATGAACTCAATGGTACCGGTGGAGGTAGTCTGTGAATTAGGTCAGAGCTTGGTGGTGACTCGTTGGGGGTGTGGCCTTTTATAAGAACGACAATGAGGAGGATAGTGTTCTCTCTTGTTCTTTGCCTTCCTGTTTGATGGTGGCCCATGTCTCAATCTAATATTTGGGCCCATTATCCTGCTGTGCCTGGGAGCTGTTGGACCCCTGCCATGTTACTGCTAATCTTGGATCCTCATGATCCAGCACCCATTGGCCTCCCAGTTTCCCAATTCACCGCCCTGCTCATCTACCTGCTTCATCCACTGCACCTGTATGAGTCTGAGAGGCTGCAGTTAGCGTATCACCCATGGACTTGAGCTGGACTGGGCGAGGCCACTTTCTTGATATACGATTCTTTCTTGATATAAAGTTATTTCTTATACAAATGTAAATGTATATGTGTATGTATATATACATGTTTTGTTTCTCCAAAAAACTGTCTAGCACAATAAGAGTTTATCTTTACAAACAAACAAACCGACATCAAACCATCTCAAAATTATATCTAACCTAAGAACAAATTACTTTAATTGAATCCCTCCCACTACTCATTTCAGAGATTTAGAACTTTAAATTCATATCACGGATATTTTTGTTTTATTTTTGAAGATATATGAGTTAATTGCTGTGGCCTTGTGATATTTAGTGCTACTTATGCAAGGCTCTACCACCCTACCACAATTAGAACACACACACACACACACACACACACAAAGTCTAAAATGTGCATTCTTGGCATGATGATAAGTAAATGAGGGGGGTTCTGTTATAAAGATGAGTAGATGAGGGCATTGTAGCAGAATCTTTGGTCAACTCTTTATCAGCAATCTTTCCTTTTCCTTTAAACATGAAAGAATCACTTTGTACAGAAACTGACAAAGCTAAAATATCATTTAGGAGATTTTTTTCAACAAAATACCTCCATTTACAAAAATGAGTGATATTGGAGACCAAATACCATTCCTTTTCTTCTCTGACTTGGGTCACTTAGACCACTCTTTCTTCTCATAAGCACACTTATGATTACATGTAGGGCCTATATCTGATTAATCAGAAATGATCTCATATGAAGATCCGTGAATTAACGATATCTGCCAAGTCCCATTTTAACGCAACATGCAAAGGTTTTAAGTATTAGGAAGTAGACATATTTGAGGCATCATTATTCTGTTTACCACAGTGTCTATAGACTAACGGGATAATCTTTTAAAGGAAAGTTTCAATAACCAAAATTAATCAACACTGATTCAATGTTAAGACTCTTTAATAAAGACATTTACACAGAGATTTGGAAGTAGAGAATTTCAACCCTGAAGATATGCTTTATATTCTCCTTAATGTAAATTTTCCAACATTGAACATTCCAGCAATATAAACTTTCCAATACCTGAAGGTTAGAAAAGGACTTTAAAACATTTTGGAATAATGTCTGTCCTTGATTAAGGCTCTGTCCAGGAAATCAGATTTGCACTTATCTCTGTTAATTATGTAGGCAAACATCCTTGCTACAGTAAAATCCAACTATAATTTTGAGAAAATGAAAAAATTAAATGTGAACTTAACCATATTTAATGTAATTGAGAGATTGAGCTAATAAAGTAGGGGAGAGGGGCAAGACAAAGAATCTCACCTTAAATAGTAAATCCTTCTTCCCATAACGAAGCTCCTTCAGCTGGGCTTGAATTTTTTTTGACTGTAAGAGCAGAGATGTGGATTAGTACCTTAATTAATTTCTATTTTCAAATTTGAAGATTAAAATATGTCCCCACCACCCATGAGTGAGTTCTGCAGCCAAACAAATGACCAGCCAGACCAGTTTGGCAGTGAAACAGAACCATGTAATCTCTGCTTTGGGCCTTTGGCATCTAGACATCCCACACAGGAGGAGAAAACTGAAGTCTGTTCAAAAGCTGTACATTAAAAAGTAATGTTTAAAGAACATACCTATTGCTTCTCACCCATAATTTCAGTGATTCAAGCATGACCAGTAATAGAATTTTAATGCTAAATATATATCTGCATATTCATGCCTCCGTTTAACTGTTTAGTTTGCAGCGCTTTCTTTTTCAATAAAATGCCAATAAATTTAAATTATAGACTAAAGTTTGTTTGGTAGCTGTGCGAGGTGAAGGCAGGACGCAAGTGTGATAAGAGGTGAGAGAAGCAGCATTTGCGGAGATGTTGAGATCAGGTGCTTTTGCCGTCATAAACACAAAGGTGCTTCAGAGAATTCCCTCTTTACAGAAATGTTTGGTCGCCCCGTAAGAGGTTCCAGGAAGCCACAGATGGTAATCTTGCCTCTCCAATTTTCCAAAGCAGATATGCGCTCTAACATCTTCACATAAAGGATCTCAGTTATTTGCAATCTACATCTAAGATTTAGATTATTGAATCATATGTGGAAAAAGCATAATTAAAAAAGTACCTTGGTAGGAATACAAAATAATATAATCAGTTTGGGAGCTTGGAAAATCTTATAAAGTTAAATATATACATAATACACAACAATGCAACACATCCTAGGTATTTAAATAATATATATTTAGTGTTTTTTATATGAATGAGCCAAATTTGGAAAGATAGACATTAAGTGATGAATAAATTGAGCCAATTGTGGTATGCACATGGAATGAAATGTTCACATAATATTGATCATTTAAAAAAAGTTCAGATATTCAACTGAAACATATAGTGTCATGCATAAATTAGACAGAATTATACATAATAGAAAGAATTCAGTCATCAGAGACTATATATGGTATATTTCCATTTGTGTGATATTCCAAACAGTGTAAAACGATAAACACGGAAATTGGATTAGCAATTTTCAGTGGCTTATGAATGGGGTAGAAATTGAATACAAGGGGTTAAGTCAAAAAGTATTAAAATAAAATTATGGAAACCGTCATGAAACAAAATGTTTAGCATTCTCTCTAACTCTCCACCATCTAGGTCTATATACTTCAGACATCAGTGTTTCCATCTCTTTAATATTTCTCCAAAGAATTCTTTCCGCTTCAATTTACAACTAGTTTGGATACTAGTTTTGTCATCCTTCGGGTACTCAAATTCTGTCCCTTTGAAGTTTTCTTTGAATTTAGGGAACAAAAATTAATCTGCAAGGACAAGACTAAGTGTGAGGTATCTGGGTAAGTTCTCCCAATGAAATTCTCATGGGTAGACTCCGCTACCCTCGAAGAATGAGCATATATGCTGTTGTGATGGACAAAAAGATTGCTGTGCAACTTTTTTTGACTCTGTCTCCCCAAGGCAGATTTTCTTGTTTTTAAAAACTAGTGGTTGTTCTGTGTCTCTTAAGAAACTCTATAAAGATTATCCTATGGGATCACAAAAAATGAGTTACTATACTCTTTTGAACTAACTTCTCTGCCTCGAATTTAACTATCCACACAAATCCCTTAAAATTTCAGTTTTGTTTGGAGGGTTTTTTGTTTTAAGGTACCTGCAGTGTAGTTCATTAATTTTCATCACCCTTATAGAAACAGACCTCGAATTTGTGATGTTCTACGAATTCTAGAATCTATACTTGTGGTCACAGTTTTCTTTTGATGTGCTTTATCTGCTGTGTTCCTGAGTCAGGATTTAGGTGGGATCTATTTTGAGTCTGCGCAACTTATTACCTTCTGTGTAACTTATTACCCTTTGTTTTCTTGGGGAAACAAATTCAGCAGATTCACTTTCATCTTTGGGATATGTGTTAAAAACATGAACTAACTTCTGGTTTTAAGCTGTTAACTCAATAAAGAGGTAAACCACCAGCTGCCTGTTTTACTGAGAACAAGGACAGCAAGAACCTGGTGTCTTAGAACTGGCGGAGAATAGACTTAAGATACCAAGAAGTAGGCAATATGATCGCAAACTTTTTGACCTCAGAAGACACAAAAGCACTTCATCAGAGCCCCAGACCTGGGAAGCACTCCATATTTGTGACACCCCACTTCCCAAGCGAGCGTACAGAGAACACTGGGGCTGGGTCCTCATCTGATAAACACCAATCATCAACTACTGCTCTAAGAAAAACCCTGGACGCGCGCAGCCATCGTACCTTGCAGGGAGCAGATTCAAAAAACTTCCCTCTCTTATTTTGGATCCTGCATTTGACTTGTCACCACTTGAGCTCCAGTTCTTGGGACTTGAGCTGACAGTCAATTTCCCGACCAGACTCACCAGCTTCTACAGGTTCCTGAGTCCTGGCCCAATTTGATGAGAATGTGGAGAATCATCTAGATCAGTGGTTTTCAACCTTCCTAATGCCACGACCCTTTCATGTAGTGCCTCATGTTGTGGTGACCCCAAACAAACAATTATTTTCATTGCTACTTCATCACTGTACTTTTGATACTGTTATGAATCGGGCGACCCCTGTGGAAGGGCCATTCAACCCCAAAAAGAGGTCGCGACACACAAGTTGAGAACCACTGATCAAGATAGCAGGCTACATTTTGGATGCAGCCTCTGTATCCATGTCAGCAATACCCTTCATGGTCATGAGTTCCATGGGATATTTCAGCAAGTACTAGAACCCTGGGATGTGTGAGAGACACCCGAGGGAAGGAATGGTGGGTGCTATCAGGGAGAGCATCTTAAAAAGGCCAGATTTTGGAGACACCATTCATTTTCACCCCATTGGGACCAGCCGGAAGTAGTGGTGAGGTCAGACACAAGAGGTGGCCTTTCTGGCTCACCGAACAAGTAAAGCTGGCATGCAGATGGGCTGCCTTGTAGATATACATCAGTGTTAATAAAAATCTCTGTAATACTTCTCAGAGCAGGGCAAAAGCCAAGGGCCAGAGAATAAACGCCTGCTAGCGTGGCTGAAAAGAGGTACTGCAGACAACATAACTACCCCCTTAGGTTTCTTAAATTGACAGGGAGCATGTGAATTTCCACTGTTAGAACCCCATACTGCGCATAGTCTGTGAGGTCTCAGTGCCCTTTGGAAGGATTGTAGCATGCAGCAGGGCAGCGGAATGCCCCGGCAGGGTGGTTCGGGTCAGGTCAGAGTAGGGTACAGAAGGTTGGAGGGCTCGAGGCATGCCAGACTTCGGCCTCATAGGACTCCTCCTTGAGCAGATGTGGGCTTGGATCCCCAGCCTCAGTTTGGAGCTGGAGGAGGACATATAAGATCCCCATTCCATTTCCTTAATTTGCAACAAACTAACATAAATGTATTCTTGGGGGAACTTGCTTTCAACCATCCACTGCTCACAAAGACATGCGTCAGCACATTTTGTTTGAAATACACCCATAAATGTTTGAACTGAAACCCTAAGATAAACAGTTTTTGAGTTACCCTCTTTAAAAGAAAGCGGATGATTATAATATTATATATCATGTATACTCATGTATAAGCCGAGTTTTTCAGCACATTTTTAATGCAGTTTTTGTGGTAAAATTAGGTGCCTCGACTGATATTCGGGTTGGCTTATACTCTTATCTTGATTGTGTTTGAGATAGTATAACTCTATATCAGCAAAGCCCATTAAAACTTATAGATAAATCAATGTCTATAGTTAAACAGGGTGTATTTTATCTTTTGGTAAAATTTATCTCAATAAAATTCAATTTAAGAAATATCTGACAATAGTAGGTAACAAATATAATATTTTTATTGAATTGTTATAATCAAGTAAAGTACATTGTTATTAAAAGCTTCATTTGATAAAGAAAATCCACTTTCCTTTTTGAAATAATGCAATTAGAAGGGATTTAAGAGGTATATGTAAATATTTCATTGATCCAACAGCTTTTATATTCAGAAAATTTATAACTATGACATGACACGTCATACAGTAAGCAAAATGGGAAGCTGTGTTACAGGGATGCCATAATTCCTAAATATTATCCATCCCTGCTGGTGTTCTTTATTCGAGTAGAAACAAGGAAACATTGCAAAAGATGTGCAATTGCACAGTGCTATTATTGGAAGCACTTTTATTTCCCCACAGACAAAAGTAAGCCACCCTCATTTCTGTATCTATTGAATCAAAAGTTAACAAGAGAAGAAAATGAAAACCAAATAAAGTACAAGGGCCGACAAAAGGAGTAATATTGACCGAGAGGAAAGTAGGTGCGATGGGGATTGGGAGGAAGAGAATGAGAAGGAGAGGGTGGGCGACAGGAGAGGAAAAAATAGAAAGAAGAGGCAGAGGCAGCGAAGGAAACAGGCAGGGAAGCAGGAAGTAGGGAAAGAGGAAGAGAGAAAAACGGAAAGACTGATGAAGATTCTGGACTCTACAATTCAAGTTTCTACTTCCTCACAAACAAGTCTCCCATTTGCATATTTTTCCTTGATATGAATGCAAAACCCCAAACCTTTTGTCATCTAGTTGCATCCCATAAGACAGAGTAGAACTGCTCTGTTTGATTTCTGGAACTATAAATATTTACAGGAGTAAAAAACGTCTTATTTCTTCCTCTGTTTGACTGGTTAACCTGTTGAACTTTCAGTTAACAGTCTAACATATAATCCACCTAATTCAGCTGACCTCATTTGAGATCAACAATGAAAGGAAACTATGTTATACAATGCACAGAAAACTCTCTAAGAAGAACCAGCGTAATATGTTTGGGCTGAATACTGCCTTATAAGAACCCAAAATTGACACTCGAGTCTTCTGACACAACCCTCTATTACACATCTCTTTCCTTCTTCTCACAGTTTCTCAAGTG